CTATGTAAACAAACCTCATCACTTGAGAAGGTAGGTGATGCGGACGTCGTGGAAGACATTTTGTCCCGTAACGCTCGCCGTACTGTTGGGGGGGGAGAGAAGCGGTGGGGGGGAGATGTTCATGTTGCTGCAGTCTGACCGCTGGATGTCGCTAAAAGTTACACACTGTAGCTTTAAGAGAAATGTGACTGAAAATGCACAAAAAATCTCAACTGCAAACGTTTAAAATGAATTTCATGAGGATGCAATGCTGGGGTTTGGAGCAGGAATTTCCTTTCAGCTTGCATAATAATAGCACAACATAAATTCATTATTTTTTAAGAATTGGATGGCGAAGGAAACCGCATCAGATAAGCAAGAAGATTATGTAAACTTTATATTCATATTGTCAAGGAGGAGATGCGATGGGGACACCAGGTCATATTTACAATTGCTCTAAGCCATCTCAGACCCCACCTGCAGTTGTTGCTCTTGGAAACCTAAGCTGCTAATACTATGTCTCTGAGTTGATGTAATTACATACTGTGTGCATGCAGTTACTGTAGGAACCGTGCTAAACACAGTATACAAGTAGGAAATTAGTCCAGCGTACATTCCACAATGGAGCTGTTTTAAGAGGGGTATTTTTTCTGAACATTTTAGTTTCAATCTGCACTGGGTTTTGCTTTAGCTGGCTGTCTGCTATATGAGTTGTGATAGGGAGATGTCATTAGTGATCATGGAAAAGGCAGGAGGAAGGATCTTTTGTGTTTTACTTGCAACTTATAATATGTTTCTTCTTGTGTCTTCTAGAGGATAAAATCTGGTATCGTGCTGTGATCTTGGAGGTAGACGAGAATGAGATTGGTGTCATCTATGCAGACTATGGGAACATTGAGAAGGTTCCACGCTCCCGTATCTTGCCCATCCCTGACCGCCTGTTGCAGCTCCCTTTTCCTGTAACTCGCTGCACCCTCACTGGTAAGGGACATTGCCTCTGGAGTTTTACTAACCCTACCCAAGGTGCTCTTTACTTGCTTATCCTAAAAAATGTTTTTAATAACCGTAACATCCTACTTTCCAAGGTAAGGAAGGCTTTCCTGCAGAGTGGCCTAAGGAAGTGCAGCAGATGTTTCAAACAGAGCTGCTGAACGGTGTCATAGCCACAGTGGAGTCCTTTGATGGTTCTGCTAATGTGCTCTCTCTAACTCTGCCGGCTGAGAGAGGTGGACAGCACCTCTCCGCTATGATCCTGGATGCACTGCAAGCCTGCAAAAAGTGCGACCCAGAAACTAGCCAGAAGCTTGAAAACGCTGGCAGCAGCTCTCAGTGTGTTCCTGATGGGCCCCAGTCTAAGCCTGTTCCTGAACTCCAGTGTGAGCTAGAAAACAATCCAGCTCCAGTTGATACTACTGAGTCCATCAAGCCTCCAGAGCTGACAGCACAACCTCAGCAGAAGGTTGCTTCTGTATCACCTGCCTTTGGTAAGTAAGATTAGAACATAAGCATGTATGTTTGTGATTTTCATCTTTTTAACCTTTTAAAATCTTAAAAGCAAAGCATGAAAATAAGTTTTGATGGGTGGGGGAACATATGATGCTCTAACTACATGAGCATTATTCCAGTGTTAAGAATTGATTAAATTCTGATTCTGAAGATTTAGAGTTATTTCTTGTTGACACATTCTGGGCTGAACTTATAATAGATTACTGTTATAAAATAAATTTTTTCTAGCTGTTGAATTACATGACTTTATATTTATGCAACATATTGATGCTAGAATTAGTCTTAAAGGTATAGTGGAGTGTTACTTTTCCAGGTGGATCATCCAAATAAGTGGTCCTCCTAATTGTCAGTCATTCGTGTGATATATTTACATAAGGCCGTCCTATGTGCTCGTCACCATTTTCACTTACCGGTGGAGAGTCTGACATAGTGGAAAAATGGAAATCTTCTTTAGGAAAGTAAGCTTGTATGAGCGATGCAAACAGCAACTTTTAAACAGAGCGATGGACTTGTGCACTCTCACACTCGTTTTACAGGCGTTCCCGCTCAGAAGCAAGTACAGGGTTTTACATGTGTATATATATATATTTTTTTTTTTAATGGAGAGGGCGGTCTTTTAAAAAATTCACGAAGATCCTCTACTTTACCTTTAACATTCAAGACAAAAACATTTTTTTTCTGAGGTGTGGGTCAGGCAAGTGTCCTCAGTGTCAGCAGTATTTATATAGCAAACAACTGTTTTCAGTCAAAGAAATGTTGATTTGAATATTCTTTGTCTGTAGAACCTGCTTTTTTTGGATACTAATGAATATGTATGTTTCATCTATGCTCTGTATTATTACCATTATCGCATGTTTCTCCTTGTACCTGTTGCCTCTATCCTACGACGCTATGGATGGAAACTAGCCCTGTGCTAAATCCATTTGTATTTACAGCCCCTGCTGTTTATTAATACATGCTGTCCCTTTCATAACAATAAATAGAATAACGTTGAACAGGCTCACAGCTGTGGAGGTTCACTATGGCACAAATAAAGTGGTCCTAGTTGGGCTTCCCTCTGATGAAAATCTTTTAGCTCATCACTAGCGGTATCACAGATATCTGCTGCTTTTAGCGCCTTGTGATTATTAGGGTTAGGCACCGAGAACCAAACAGAACAGTTTATAACCTTTTAATTCTCCCAAAATCTTAAATTTTTTTTTTTTTTATTTAATTCCTAGTTTTGATGTCCAGTCCTCTGACTGAAACATAAACTGCCTGATATCAGCAGAGAAGAACCAGCAGGACTGTGTGCAGCAGCATTTGAATGTGCAGCTTATTGTTAAATTACAGTCTATTGACTGTGACAGTAGCAATTGGGTTATATCATGCAAAAGGATGACACGTGGAGACTCTCCCAAAAAAATCCAGATGAAGAGCCTGGTCGTTGACCCTGACCCTCATTGACCAGTGATGTGACGAAGGCTCCTCATGGCGCACCTTCTGCAGGGACAGCAGAGCTTTTTCTTCACTTTCTTCTAGGGCTGCAATGAACGATAATTTACCAACTCGATTAATCTATCAATAATTTTTTTGATCAATTGGTTAAAAATGGGATAGCAAACCTTATCCGATCATTTAAAAAACCTTTTAGAAATTAAATCAGGTTAGTAGTACTTTCCACTTGTGGAGTTTGATAGAGCATATTGACATTCAAAAAGTTTTTTTTTTTTCATCTTTTATAAATTTAAAATTTTTATTTTTTTATTCATTGATACAGTTACTGCACTAAGTGGGTTGCTCTGTCAGCTAAATTCATGTTTTAGAGTCAATAATCCCGTAAACTATTAATCGATTACCAAATTAGTTGACAATTATTTTAATAATCGATTAATCCGATTAATTGTTTCAACCCTACTTTCTTCCTCTTCCTTAACACCTTAATAGATAGCTGCCTTGTTTCCTATGCATTCTGGATAGAATAAAAAACACTTGAATCTCAATCTGCCGAAGTTAATAGTAATTTAAAGCATAATTATTATTGTTTATTTTGATTAATTTTGAATCTCTGCCAAAGTTTTTATTTGTAACTTCTTGTGCGTTTCTCTCATTTTGGGAGTCGTCAGGGATTCCCCAGTGTAAGCTTTTCCTTGTGATTCTGAAGGCCCATTGCCTTTTTTAGTAATCAGAGTATAGCATCAGGTTAATTAAACTTCTGGGGTATTGATTTGGTCAGGTAAGTAGCAGAGGGGGTTGTTAACCAGTTCCAACTGCTTTGGTGTTAATGAAATAAACAACAGGTGAACTAGAGGGGCAACAACGAGACAACCATCAAACAGGAATGGTTTTACAGGTGAAGGCCACTAACATTTTTTCCCCTCCTCATCTTTTCTGACTCCTTTTCACCAGTTTTGCATTTGGCTAGGGTCACTGTCACTACTGTTGGCATGAGGCGCTACCTGGACCCAACAGAGGTTGCACAGGCAGTCCAACTCCTCCAGGATGGCACATCAATACGTGCCATTGCCAGAAGGTTTGCTGTGTCTCCCAGCACAATCTCAAGAGCATTAGCAGGACGGTATCTGCTTCTTTGTGCAAGGAGGAGCAGGAGGAGCACTGCCAGAGCCCTACAAAATGACCTCCAGCAGGCCACTGGTGTGAAAGTCTCTGACCAAACAATCAGAAACTAACTTCAGGAGGGTGGCCTGAGGGCCCTGCAATGAAATTTCAGCAAAATGACTTTTTCACTGTAATTTTTGGGGTTGATCATTTTCATTTCCATCAAATGATGTGGCATCCTTTTGTTCCCAACACATCACCCAGTCCATATGAGTATAAATAAACAGCATGATTTTTTTCTCCATTGAGATCTGATGTGTTTTCAAAGTGTTCCTTTAATTTTTTTAAGCAGTGTCTTAAAGCAAGTCCTTTATTTCCTAGTCTAGTTGTGTTCACCCGTAATAAATGGGATTTTTAATTGTCATTTCAGAAGATCCAGTGAAGGAGATTGTTGGCCAGATGGAGCAACCAAACCAAAATTATCTAAACGGTTCTGGTACGTACATATCAAGATAATTAAATTTGATGTCTTACTTAATTGCTGTTGCATCTTCTGTGAAAAAAAATCATTAGTTTATAATATTTACAACCTTTCTAAAATGCAGATAATCAAGCCTCTGGCTGCTGCTGCCAGAGCCTCCGAAAGCAGGTTAGATATATTTATAAAAAAAAAAAAAACATTAGTAGTAATAGTATTTATTTTGATTGTATATTATGCTGTTATAATTAAATCGACTAAAAAGGATCCTGTGCTCTGCTTGCATTTAACAGATGGACAGTCTGGAGCATATGATGCAGCTGCAGCTTTCACTCATCAAGCAGCTGGTTGGACAGAAGAAATAAGATTATACAGAACAGTTCATGTTTGTTTATATTTTATCTTTTAACTGGTCTTTAAATTTGAGGGTGCACAATATGTTTTTTTACGTTTGATCTACTTTGTTTTCATTTTTTACAGTTCAGATGCACCAAATAGGTTTGTAATAGTAAAATTGAAAAGCAAAGGCAAGTTCAGCCCCAGTTATGACATCTGTTAACCTCGTCTGCAGCGGTGGGAATGTCCAGCTTTATTGTTTTATGTATGTGTTGAAGTTGAACTTAAAGGTTCTGTGGATTAAAAAAAAAGTTAATTCTTTTCATTTGTCAATTATTAAAAAAAAAAAAACAACCTTCAAGCAAGAATTTTCTGCACATGAAATTCATTTAAGATACAGCTCAAATGTTTTCTTTTTTGTTTTGCTATATCTACAGCTCTAAAATTTTCTGTTAAAGTGCATTTCTCTTTTTGAGACAATAGTGTTTTTCCCCACCAATTTAATTTGAGGTTTTCTCTTCATTTTTTTTTTTAAATCAAAACCTGCTTTAGTTTTAATTTGCATGGCCACAGGAAAATATTTGACCGTTCACAGTATTGCATACATTTCAGGGAAAGGTCCAAAATGATCGACAACAGATTGGAATAAATAGATTTCTGTATATATAAAAAAAGGATAATTTTGAGCCAAGCTGTAATAAAGCATGGTTTAGTGGTCAATTCGGTTAGCCCCTTGTTAGTTTGTTAAAAGATCCCAAAATCTTTAGCTGGATTCAAGACAAAATGAAAACAAGCATCCACTCCAATTAATGAGCCATATGATAGGAGCATCTGAGATGGTTGATTTTGGGGTTCAACTCTGCATGAGGCTTGCAATCAGGTGGTAGAATTTAAGATGTACAAGACAAAGGTGCTGAGGATGATCTTGACAGTTTGGAGTCAGATGAGGTTGAAACATCCAGCGCTTAAAAATTTTCACATCTATTCAAAATTAGTTTCCCTGCCTGATGTTTATGAATGCCGCCTGATCGCTGGAGGATGGTGCCTCTTGTGTGGAGATGGTTGATAACTACTTTGTTCACATATAGTTACTTGACAAATTTTTAGTTGATCTGCTGCAACTTTTACTTAAGGAAAATGGTACTTTATCTTTATGCTCAGTGCCGCAGTGGGTAGTGCTGCTTCCTTGCAGCAAAAAGGTTCAGGGTTCGAAAGAAGAGGGTCTTTCTGTATGGTGTTTGCATCTGTGTGTTCTCTCCGGGTACCCCAGCTTCCTCCCACAGTCCAAAAACATGGACTGTTGCTTCTCTAAATTCTCCTTTGGTGTGAGTGTGTGCATGAATGGTTGTTTGTCACTGTTTCCCTGTAATGGACTGGTGAGTTCGCCCATAGACAGGTGGAGATAGGCACCAACACGAAAATGGATGGATGGATTTTCAGCTGTTTTTTTTTTTTTTTGCATAATTTAACCACCAGGTGGGGCACTTTATAGCCTAATTTTTGTTCCTTTTCATTCATTTTATTATATATCCATTGAAAAAAAAATCTAATATTGCTGCTCTTACTGAAGTAAAATATTTAGCTTGGTTTAAAGAAAAAAGCTCCAGACAGGCAGTTCAAGTTTGATAAAAATCAGTATCAATTTAAATCATGAAAAGTTTACCATCATGTGAGCTTTCAAACTAACACACCATAAACACAAAAGACATATTTTCCTTGTTCTAATAAGTAGATTTTGGTGTTGAGCATATTTGATCTGGGGGGGAAAAGTTTATAAGGATTTTTTTTGAAAGTTGATATATATATATATTTTTTTTTAAGAATACCAAAGATTTGCTACTGTGTGTCTTATTACATTGTTTTTAATCAATCAGATATATCAGCTTATCATTCTTTTTACCACATATTCTTTTACTGACTAATGTATTGGATGGGAAGTAGAAATATGTGAAACTGGTGCTACTCTTTGAGTACAACTGCTGGACGCAATACTCACCTCTCTGCATGTGATGTCATCAAACCCAAAGCAGGGATAGGCTGTTTTCTTTATAACCTTATATCATTTGAAGTCCTGCTGCAGCAGTGATTGATTTTACAGATCTATTTTCTCATGTATGGAAGAGGATTAGAGCCACTGGAAATAAAAAATACAAGAAAAAAGTCAGAATTCTGACTTTAATCTCAGAAGTCTGGCTGAATTCTGACAGCTGACAAACATATTATCAAGCCGTAGCCATGTCTGTTTTAGAACCTAAACTTGCTTTTTTGTTTTAATCACATTCTGCTCTTCCATTAATGAAATAGTGCCACTGGGGACCCCTCTGGCATGTAAAAAGTCACCTAATTCCATCATTTTCCACCAATGTGTTACTGGCCCTCCCAAACAACTCACATCTTTGTCAGTGAAGCTGAGTACTCCCACATCTCTTTCTTCATGGTGCCCATCTACATTAGGAATTCTGAAATTAAAGTCAGAATTCTCTGAGAAAAAAAGTCAGAATTCGGTGAAAAAACTTCAGATTCTGAGAAGAAAATAAGAATCCTGAGATTAAAGGTCAGAATTCTGTGAAAAAAAGTAAAAACTCTGAGATTAAAGTCAATATTCTGTGGAGAAAACAGAATATTGATGCCCACCTCCCTTATTAAACAAATATTTAAAAATCAGTTTAATCAGTTAATTTTTTTCAGTGGCCCTAATCCTCTTCCATACATGAGATTACATTTGCTGATAGAAAATTGTTCTCTGCTAGATGGTATTATTAAATAAATAAACAAGTGATTCCTTTTTATTTATTCTTACACAAACCTACTTGAAAAACAAACAAATCCCAGTGGAGTTTTCCAGCATTCCTTAGGAACGCCCCTTCCCTGGTTTTATCCAGTGCAGGATGAGAGGATCCCACAGGTAGACCAGAGGTGGTTATTAGCAGGAGGTGGGCTCGCCTAGCCTCTCCTCTGAAGGAGCGAACCTCAGCAGGTCGGAGCAGCACGGAAACAGGAGCAATACTCATAAAGGCTGGTTACGGTAAGGAGAAACTTGGGTCTATGAGGGAGTAAATCGGGGTGCGCTTGTTTTGTTCGCCTGCTGGTAGCGGCGATGTGTTTCCCACTATCTGCTTATAGTGATCAAAGACAGAAGAAATGTCGGTATTTATCATTGCCATGGTAACAATATGTTTCTTATGTAGATGAAATTAAACAGGTGCTGGTTTTTATTTGGGCTGAATGCTGTGTGCAATGTCAAGTAAATTAATATTTTAGCTCAACACAGGCACCCTGGTAAAATGTTAAAAGAGGTTACATGTTTTGAATATTAATTTTTATCGAATAAATAAATAAATACATGTAAGACAGTTTTATTACTTTTTTTTTAGGCCAAAACTGCTTTGCAAAGTGAGACAAATGCTGCTATGAAGTTTTAAGCTCATGTTTTAAACATACATTTTTTGAAGTTGTAACTAAAAATAAACCAACTACTTTTTCCAATATAGTCATGCGTTGCACATCAATAAACTTTTTTTTTTCTTTCAAGTTCCACAGCAAAAAAAAAAAAAAAAAGTGGTACTTCTTCTTTAACATGTTTATTATATGACTGCAGTAGTTTTACTAAGACAGGTAGGACTTAATGTACAAAAACAAACTGAAAGCTTTGGCCGGTAACAAAGTACCTTCCAAATCAGATTGTATTTAGAACCTGAGGAGAGGATTAAAAAATGAATAAATAATTAAGGTAAGGGTGTCTAACTCCAACTCTTGAAATAGTGTGATGCATGCCTTTTTCTCCAATTTAACTAAATTACCAATTTTTTTTTTTGTAAAACTCTGCAGATGCCCAATATTAAACATTTATTTAATACAGGTGTGAAGTGCACTTGGACACTCTTGACATAAAGGACTGGGTTGCCACCAGTGCAAAGCTTGTATAGGACTGACAGCAGGCAGGTAAGGTTGTTTTGGTCATAGTCTGATGTCAAGAAGCAAATTCAATCCAAGAAAAGCTTGAAGCATAGATATTCCTCAAGTAGAACCACCAGTTATATGATGGAACTTTAATGGGAACATATAACACCTTGCAATAAAAACTTTAGTTGCTTTTCAGATAATTTTATTCTAACATTCTAGATTATGCAGATCTGTTTAATTTTCTATATCCAGTTTTTGTGTTTTTTTTATTTGTCATCCTAGCCTATGAGGTCATGATCTAATTTCAAAGGCTAGCACAATGTGTAAGGATAATTATTATACATGAAACTAAATTCAATGTTTAGTTTTATATTAAAGAAATCAAGCCATTTTTCAACCATTTAAGTGTTTTCTCTGATCGCTTCTCAGTGTGTGGTTTCTTATATGCATCTGGAACACATTCCGATGCACCGGTCTACGTTATTATATCATGAAGTAGAACAGTGCCTTTTAATCAGACAGATGTGCTAAACAAAAGAATTTCCATGCTTGCCTCTGTTGTTTTAAACGTGGTTATTTTCATGGAGTCATCCTAAAATGACTGGAACTGTTAGGATGTTTCTCAAAGTGCCACAAATACAGGTTAGTTGTGTGGATTTTCTAAGAAGTTGGCTCAATAAGTAGCACTTTTTTCTAATTACAGTGTACAGCGTGGAGGCATTTTCCGACATGAGAGCTGTTTTTGAAACAGGCATCACCTCTTACAGCCCTGTTTTACAAGTTTTACCCTCTGTTACATCCTCAGATTTCCATGCATTTTCTTGTGATTTTAAGCGAGATACCACCAAAAATCAGTGCATAATCTTGACATGGAAGGGTCATAATACATAGCTTTCTGTTTCCTTTTTACCAAGATAATCTGACAAGTGTGGTATTTGTTCCCTGCAGTAAATTGATCAATGAAACCAACTTGCTTTACTAATAACCAGCAAAAATACATATTGGTTTTTTAAAACTTTGTGATGTAGGACGTTGCTCTGAGACTTTAGAAACCCCTGTGAAACATGGTATATAAAATATATTTCATATATAATTTACAGTGTTTACAGTAAGAGTAGCATGTGATTTGTTTATTAAAACATGTGGTTTATATTCTGTTTCTGCAACTTTTCTACCCAAAGGCTTTGGATAATTTTAACAAATTTGCATAAATCTGTTGGACTTGTTATTGCTGTTAATCTAGAACATATTGATGAATAGTATAAACTTATTTTTATGGATTATATTATATAAAATGTTGAATCTTAAAATACTAAACCAAATGCACTACCTGACTACAGCTTATTAGCATCTTCATATACTTCATATTTTTGTGCTCATTCTTGGTGACACATTAGAGGTTGAAGGGCTGCAGATAAGGTCTGATTAACTCTGGCTGCTGATAAGTTTGGGTGATAATATCCTACTTGCAGCTTAGCAGTGCGCCTGAGGTAGACAAAGAGGACAGGAGTGCCAGGGGGGCCTTGTGTATGTATTTCTGAGACAGAGAAGGAATTGTGTGCAGGACGGAACCTCGCTTTGAGAGGAGTCTCGGTTTCTCTGATAGAGATCTGCAGAGCTGTCTTGGCAACGAATGGCTGAGAAGGCCTGAGATGATAAGCATCATCAAGGGCCACTGATGCCCCATAGAACACTGCTGCGACTTCCTGATGACAAGAGATTTCATTATTATCGTTACTTGGGGTGCAGTTTGGGTCATGCATGCTTGTAGTTGGTTATAGATAGGGATGCGTGCATAGAAAGAAGAGGAACACACACACGCACACCTGTCTCAGAAGTTCGCCACTGCTTCCCAATCATTCATCTGGATCATTCTACCCTCTCTCTGAACAAACATTTGGGATATTCTCCTAAAATAAAGGTAATGTTAGGTCTCAAATTTTACAAAACACACATTTTTCAAACATTTTAATGAATTTCTTTGGAATTGCATATATTACTGTATGTGAAACTCCAACAAGAGGCAGTAGAAGGCAGAAAACTTCAATGTTAAACTGAAAGCATGGTGTACTACTTTATAGAACCACCTTTTGCTTTAAATACAGTCTTTTAAGGTAGGTCTCTAATGACTTTGCACATTAAGTCCATAATTCTTGCTTTTATTCCAAACTGGGGTTCAGTCAGATTGAATGCAGAGAATGTGTTGGCATAAAATGTCAAGTCAAAACACTGTGGTGACGCAGTTCCTGTTACTCGGATACACCTAAATACAATTCTGTGCCACCAATTGCCTTCAGAATGCAGATTAATAGTGCAACAATAAGGTTGCGCAATAAATCACATTGTGTGAAGTATTCTTTTGCCAAAAGGATTTATATGCCAGTATGTTTGATAAATTTTATTTAATACTGTTTAGATTTGGCTAAGAGAGTAAAGGGGTATAGTCATGGAGTAATTGTAAAGTAAGGTTTCATTACAAAAACCTCAGGCATAGATCATAAACAAACCATTTCAATACAATTTTACAGTTAAAGTGGAAGAACTATTTTGCAGTTTCACTCTCTGGGTTCTATGGTGAAAACATGATACAATGATGATAAAAACAAAAAGAACGAGAAATGCCTTGACTCTGACTCTGCTAATTTAAAGATTTCTTCATTAAATGCAAGTCATATCTTAAACACAATATTCACTATAATTATCAAGATATGTCTCTCATCTGTCTAAAATACAAACAAAAGCATTTCACCTTCGGAGGCACAGCCAACCAATATCTACACTCTTCTATGAGTTAAATTATTGCAATAAACTAAAAACAATTCTCTCATGTTGGTCAAGATGGTATATTTTGCTCAAACAAAAGAGTAAGTCCCTTTTTCATATACATTTTTTTTTACAATGCATTTAATTTCAGAACTCAATCAATACTTAAGTGTGAAAATGTTTGTGTGTTCATCAGGGCTGAAACAATCATGATTAATCTATATTGAAATAATAATCAATTAGTTTAGTAATCAATTAATCGTCAGCTGGAATATAGAGCCTGTAAAACATCCTTTTATATAACGGAGCAACCCACTTAGAGCAATAATTATATCAAAATTGTAAAAAAAAATATGTAAACATTTTGCATTTAATTCTGATTTTTAATTTAGCATTAAGCATCTATCATCTTACAAAACAAATTAACTTAGTTTCCCGCAGCCAACATTTACTTTTCATATATTGTGAACATTTATGAATCCACAGATTGCGTGAATCTTCATTTTTGAGGGACAATAATGAATATTTGCTTTTCTTATACATCTGTTCATGCTTATAGACCCAGACGTTTACAATGGACTAAAGTCTTAAACAGTTGTGCTCTGCTTAGCATATGCTCATTTATGATTGCAGGTGTTCCAACATGTACGCTGATACATGCACTACCCTTCTCTTCACTTTGCTGCTCCTTCCAGGTTGGTTGATGAATGTTTCATTCTGTTTTTTGTCCGATATTCTGTGAAGTCTTTCTTGGTTTGTTGGAGAACATCACATTATAACGACCAGGGATGAAGCAGGGGGATGTTTTAAGCCTGTGGTAGGTTATACAAGAAGATCCACTTGGATGAACAAGATTGAGAAACGGAGACTGGGTTTAAATTTTTAAATTCAGCTCAACTGGAGCTTCTTTTAAAAGAAGAGAGAACTGTGCAAATATTTAGATGTGCAAAGAAGCTAGAGGAGATACCTTTTTGTTTTTCAGGCGAAGCAGCAATTTACCTATTCAAAGCAGCTTTTTTTACTGAAGAGTATTGGTATTTGCCAGAGGGGAAAAGGAGGGACTAGCTGGGAAATATAATCTTTAAACCTTTTTCTAAAAATGACAGCTTTAGCACCATGTGTAATATTTATGATGGGTCATTTTAAGACTTTGAACTGTGCAAAACCTGTTTCACCTTCTAAGGAGGCCTCTCTCTTTCATTCTGCTGTCAACATGGATGTAAGGCCAATTATCCCCCCTCGGCTAGATTATTTTAGGGTCATTGTTTAACATAACAGTTCTTACATTTAGGTAGAATTTATGCCAGAGAGACTTAATCTGTCCTGTTTTCTGCACTGCAATTATTTTCACAGACATTAAAGATAGGAGCGGCCCTACCATGAACAGACAGGCTTTTTGTTCTGAGCTCTGTGGCCTCACTGACAATAAAAACGTTGCCCACTCTGGCCCCCAAACTTTCACTTAGGAATGATGTTGGAAGCAGGGCCTTATAAAAGAGGTCAGTGTTGTGAAGAGGTTGGAGCAAGCTGTTGCAGGTGGTACTTCCCTCTAATGATCAGTGTCTCTTTTATTCCCTTGAACTGAAGTTTTATGGCATTTTTTTTTTATTAAAAGGTAATGCATGTTTTAAGGGGTGAAGTCTGTATACAAATTTTATTTTGACATTAATGTTTTTACTGCTGTTGGTATGTTTGTCTTTTAGTAATACAAGGATTCAGCTTGATTCCCTGTCAAGCTCTGAATAGTAGGATCCAGTATTTGAGGCGTGTGTGTCACTAACCTGGTCTTATAGTTCAGTATGAGCCCAGAGGATGAGGTTGGTTCCAGCCGGTCAGCTGCCAACACAACTTAGTGGGTGGCATGAAGAGAGTCCCAGAAACTGATGTATTAATGATCGGAGGACAGGCAGGAGATCAGAACTGAGCAGACGATGGAAGGCAGGATAATCCAGAGATGGAAGCCAAAGCTGGTGTTGAGGACGTGCTCTGTAGTCAGAGCCAGGAAATCAGAGGTCCGAAGTGGTGCCGAAGGGAGAATCCAGAACGGAGTCAGGAAACAGTTCCACGTTCTGTACACAAATAGGAAGAGATCCGCAGGACTCAGACAGGTCAGGCAAACAGATCAGAACAGAAACAGGCAGTCTCAGAGGTTGAGAGGCAGAACAGGTCAGGATCAGGCTACTGGAAACACAGGTATGCTAGAGAACTCTCACCACAGGCTTGAATAATCGGGAAATGAGAAACTGGTTTGAAGGCTGATTAAATAGAGACTGAAGCAGGTGGATCAGATGAGCGGTAATGAGAACTGAGTGGAGATAAGCAGGTGAGTGAAATTAGTAATTAGACCAGACATCAGTGCCAAGATCATGAAATTCTTAATATTTTGCATCAGTCTGTAACTTTTCCTGTTGGTTCTTCATCTTTGTTTATTGTCAGGGCTTATTCACTCTGGGTCTGTTATTAAGGCGTCCTGTTTTTGAGGCATGTTTGATGTCTGCCTAATCATAGTTTTTCACCTTTATGTCTCAGAATCTGTGTTTTTCTGCACAGCAGATCTCGTAAGATGTACCAGAATTATATTTTTAGCTTTATTTTTTACAACAGAAGCCATTAGAGCTGTGTTAAAACAAAGTGCCTTTTAAAGTTTAGTGATTCTACTTTCTTACTAAATGATTCAATGTAGTTTATTGGATTTTATGTAACAGACCAAAAACCATGAAGGGTTTAGGTGTAAAGCTCAATTACAGCTGCAGGCCTTTTGGACCGTGATTAATCCTTTTTTTTAATAACTGGAGAACTAACTGTTTTCAATCCATCTGTTGAATGCTCTTCTCTTTTAACACACCTTAATCAAAAAGGTGAACTACCTTCTGGGCATGACAGCAAGATTTGCAAACACTTGGTTATTCAATATTAATACAGCAACTCTGTAAGAAAGAAGCCGTCCATATCAATTTACAAATTTTTTTTAAAGATCTAAGACCTCAATGTTTGGAGACGTTCGGTGTGTTCTGAGGAAATTTTGTTTAAAGCGTTTGGCTGTGGTGAGCGTTATGACGTTTAAAGGAAAAACAGGTAAACTGCATAGCCCTCCCAACTGGGAAGTATAGGCTGGTCAGCTTTATGTGATGTCAGCGTTTCGCTGCTGAAGGTACTAGTGCGTATCTCTAGACAGACTGGATGAGGAGCGAAGAATGTTAAGTTACTTATTACACAGATATGGCACGAGAAAAGGCTTTTATGAGAGGGTTTCACAAAACATTTGACCCAACAAATCCTACAGTTTAATCAAAATAACAGGGACATTTCTGTAAACTTAAAAATTAAAAAAGGCTTGAAATGAAAAAATATAAAACAGGAAATAACTATATTAATCCTGGCTAACCTATAAAAGGAAACGTTTAGTCTGATTTAATATCAGGAAGTGAGAAAGAACAAGTTGCATTTATTACTGTCTATCTAAATAAAATGTAAAGCAGTGATTTATCCTCTGCCTTTACCCCTTAGATGATGTTAAACCACTGACCTTCTGGTTTTCCTTTTTTTCCCCAACATTTTTAGTGTTACAGGTCACTGAAAAGAGACAGATAGCCTCAAGCATTACAAGCAAAAGTGATGTAATTGAGGAGAAAAACATGCGGAATCTTGTGTGAAAATACACATTCAGAACTTTCTGTGCTCCATACTTGCCTTAAGGAAACTAAGCATGTTCTCAGTAAATCACATACCCCACATCCACCCCACCTCCTTACATATGTATAAATAAAAGAATGTCCTTTCAGTTGATAAAACCAAACAATGGTCCTTATCAACTCCCAGAAGAGATAGTTGACTTTCTAAAAACATTAAAAGATATCTAAATATATATATTTACCATTACAAACAATAAAATGATAGTTACAGTTTATGTAAAGACATTTTCTTTTCTTTTCTGCCTTTCATGAGTCAAACCGCACATAAAATTATATCAGAAATTATTTACTCTTCATATATTAACATTTTAATTATAAGAAAATATATTTACCTTTTCAAGCAACTGATTATGAGAGAGGGAATACTTATCAAAACATTTTTGCTGATTCTAAACTAATATATAACATATAAGTATGCAGACCTTTTAGCATTACATATCGGACATTAGAAGAGGAGGAGAACACGTATGTCTGTAAATTGCTCAGGATCCTCACAGGAAACAACACATGAAAATCTGAAGTATATGTGATGAAATAACTTGAAGTCACAACCGTTTTTGATTATAGAGAGAGGGCAAGGTCAACATTTTGGTAAATGAGGTATGAATGAAATACACATCTGAGATTCAGCCACAAAGCTGTAAAGAGCCTGATTGCCTTGTTAACTGTATGAATATAAATGTGAATGCACCCTAATCTTCATATCCTTTGTTCCCCTCAGTCCAACATGCTGCCTCTGTGCAGGAGATCCAAACCAACCATGAGAACATAGCAAAAATCAACTCAGCTGCACAAAGTGAGTAAGGAAAGCTGTGAAATAAAAAAGACAAATGTTCTCATATTTGTTATCTACCATTTCAATCTTGTACAGAGGGCTTCTACCCAGGATGATTTCCCTATAATACCTTCAAAAGAGAGACGTCTAGAGGGGGGAGTTAAAATAGATGCCTGACCTGGATCACTGAGTATTTCAGTCGAGGCCCCTTAATGTGGAAGAGCAATGACTCTACCCTCCAGCCGCTCTTCAGATGACTAACTGAAGCTAATTGTAGCCGCTTCTATCCAGCAACTTGTTGTCTAAGTCAGGCATCCCCAAACTCGGTCCTCAAGGCCCCCTGTCCTGCAGGTTTTAGAGGTTTCTCTGCTTCAGCGCAGCTGGTTATAATGATTGCAGTAGACCAAAAGCCTGTTAATCAGCTTTCAATTAAAATCAGCTGTGCTGGAGCAAGGAAACCTCTAAAACCTGCAGGACAGGGGGCCTTGAGGACCGAGTTTGGGGATGCCTGGTCTAAGTCATTGCCCAGATTTTAGTAATTAAGTCATGGACAGGACCAATTACTTGGCAGGTTGCAAAAGTTCAGCAGGCACTGGGAACAGGTCTGACTTTGTACCTATAATGCAAACTACACTGGAAAAAACGATAGAGAAATAAGTAAAAATGTCTTAAATTAAGTGTATTTACCCTTAATATGAGTAGGTAAATGAGTTGATTTGCCAATGGAATGAGTATTTTTACTCTTAAAAAAGATAATTAGATAATATGCACTTGAAATAAAACAATGCAAGTGCGTTTTGTTATTTTAAATGTGAATTGTCTTGTTCTGTTGGCAAAATGCTTCTTTTACCTCCTCAAATTCAGAACAAATTCACTTATTTTAGGAAAAAATTACTTATCTAGATTTAGATTTTTTTTCCAGTGTACACTTCTGCTCTGCTTGTACACAGACAAAATGGCCCCTAGTTAAAGACCCCTGACTCCATACTCCTGAAGCACACCCTTCAGGGGACCAGAAGGGACATGGACAATACCGCATCCTCAGGAAAACTCCCATGGTCAAATGTTTCATTGCTGGGACCAAACTCACACAACTGCTTCTTCTGAAATCAGCTGCTATTATTCAATGAAAAATCTTTTTTTTTTTTTTTTTTTATATATTTTTAAACTACTTTTAAAATTTTGTAGAATTTCATAAAATTCACTATTGTTGATAGTGGATTAGTGTGACATTTTGATCCTGAGTAAGATTATTTTTAGTAATTTTACAGGATTTGAAAGACTTGATGAGATGTGCAGTTTTATTAAATTTCTATAGTACAGTGTGGCAAACACATCAGAAGGGGACTTTGTTTCCTTGTAAGCCTTAATTAGAGAAAAAATTGCATAATATCCTCGATGTAAAAAGCTCTCCTCATTGTCAGCAGCGCCCCTGCTTACTGGACCATGAAACTAACAGAAACGTCTGAGAACGATGTTTCCATGCAGGAATGCAGAGAGAAACAATGTCTGGAACAACATCACTGCCTATAGGACAACCAATTTTGTGTGTTTTGTATTCATGGGAAGTGATGCAGTGCTCATCAGTCATGGACATCCTCTTTCTCATGGATGGATCCTACAGTATCGGGAAGGGAACCTTCGAGAGGTCCAAACATTACGCAGTCAAGCTGTGCGATGGCCTAGATGTTGCTCCGGATAAGGTTTGATTTCCATCCACCCTATATTTCTATATCCTGTCTATCAACACACAATTTAGTTTAGTCGGGTGAATAGTACCAGGACCAGTGTCATGCTTAAATGCATCTAATCAACCATTTTGTAGAAACATACATTTTGAAATACTTGCAAGATTGCGATTGCACTTTCTCTCTGGTTCTATGCAGGTGCGAGTGGGTTTGATTCAGTTTGGAACCGTTCCCAGGTTTGAGTTTACTCTGGACTCGTACTCCACCAAACAGGAGCTGAAGAAACACATAAAGAAGATTTCATACAGGTTCGTAAATGTAAACCAAGAGTTAAAAAAGGTCAAGAGCGCTCACTATGTTAAGTCTTATAGTCAAGAATAAGTCTAACTAAGCCTTATAGTCAGGAGTAGTTGGGGGTATAGAAACATTGTGCGTCATTCTGTGATTGGTTTCTTCTGATTCTGCTAAAACCGTTTTTCTCTCAGAGGAGGCAGCACCCAGACAGGCTTGGCTCTAAAATACATCCTGAGGAAAGGTTTTCCAGGTGGCCGCAACTCCTCCAGCGTCCCCCGTGTGGCCATCCTCTTGTCTGATGGGAGGTCTCAGGGCAGCGTGGTCCAGGCGGCTGCGCAGCTTAAAGAGAAGGGCGTGGTCCTGTTTGCTGTCGGCCTGCGGTACCCCAAGTAAAGATGACGTTTATGAATTATAGCATGCAGGGATACATATTTTAAACATGCTGACCTAAATCCGTTTTGCAGATGGGAAGAACTGCATGCCCTTGCCAGTGAGCCACAAGAAAGTCACGTCTTCTTTGCAGAGCATTTCTTTGATGCTGTTAACGGCCTGTACAGCACACTGAGCATGTTCTCTTTCTGCAACGCCACACCTGCAGGTGAGAGTCCTTCCTCAGGAAAACTGCTGTTTGTTTCCATTTTCACACAACTCTTTCCATGTGTTAGATAGAAGGCGACTATCTTGATATTGTCTAACTTTAACTTACTGATCTCATGTGGTTTATATTTGATCTTTTCTTGTCCTCTAGGTTGTCAGGTGGAAACCTTCCCCTGTGAGAGAAAGACTCTGGAGACAGTCAAAGAACTACAGGGGAATTTTATGTGCTGGAAAGGTTCCAGGGGATATTCCCCATATACGTCGCTCTGCCCTTACTACAGGTACATGTTCATGGAGGCTTTTTCCACTGAACTCTACACAAAACCTACACTATTAGATTTCCTCTTAGTATATGGAAGTAAATCTGTGTTGCTGGGCTTTGAATTAAAAATGCAGCTGAAATTTAAATGTTGTATGTTTGTACTTACTGTTTCAGTGTTAAAATATATTCAGAACACATTTTTGACCTAAAAAAATTGTCATTATTTCTACACAGTTGAAATCTTCAAGCTAAAAATTCACATTACTATTATATAAAATATAAAAAAAAAAAATCAAACTTTCAAAATTCAAACTCAATATTTTCAGTCTTCTGAGATTCAACTGGCTCTATTTCACTGTCTTAAATTTGGCGTCTAAATTCAGTGTAAAAAGGGAAGGGTTACTTCAGGTCACAGACATTAGCAATGGATTGTGGTGTGTCCAACGCCACGGCCAATCCCGTTACGTTTTCTTAGTCACGTGATGTGATGCTTGTGGCGCTCAGACTGAAGGAAACCCAGCATCACGGAGCCGATGTTCTGAATATATTTTAACACTGAAATAGTAAGTACAAACATACAACAGTTAAATTTCAGTGGCATTTTTAATTCAAATCGCACCAACACAGATTTACTTCCATATTAGTAGAGATCGACACAAAAAAGAAGCAAAACTGTGATTTGGAAGAAAAAGGTTTTCAGGGATTTTTTTCAATTATAAACTGAAAATTGATCTTGAATTTTTTATTCAGCCTTTTAAAATCTGATTCAAGGTTAACCACTGCCTTAAAAACAAGCTGACATTAAATATGTTTAGTTTAAGTGTAAATCCAGCTTTTAAATACACTTTTAGGTCATTTTGCTCTGGAGGCAACATGAAGGGTAAAGAAAGAATCTAGAATCCATCCATCCATCCATCCATCCATCCATCCATCCATCCATCCATCCATCCATCCATACATACATACATACATACATACATACATACATCCATACATACATACATAATGTGAAATTATGTACCTGCACCTTTCCAGAGACATGCTTTATATATAATTGCTTTTATAGCACATTTCAGTATACTTTTATTGAAAATATATTATTTCATTTTCTTTTATAACTGAGCTGCTGCATTGTTAGCAGATAAAAGTCAGTGAACCACCATCATGTGCTTTGCAGGTATAGTCGAGTTTACAGGAGACACCAGACTGTGTGCCATCGGACCATTTGTTCAGGTGAAGTTGTTCCCTTCCTTTGCCTCATTCTACGCTCTAACATGATGCTGACATCTCTCTTCTCTGGTTGCTCTCCTCATCGTTCCCAGATCCCTGTGACTCTCAGCCGTGTATGAACGGTGGATCATGTGTGTCAGAAGGTCTGGAGCTCTACCACTGTGTGTGCCCACCTGGATATGGGTCAGACCCGCACTGTGGTCGGTACAATCCCTGCTTCTGTTTCTTTTTATGACTGTGTAAAGACTAAGATCAATTAACCTCCAATCTTTCCTCAGCTCCTGCTTTATCCTTGGACTGCTCCATTGATGTGCTTTTCCTACTGGAAGGCTCTACCGCTCTGACGTTAGAAGGCTTCCTTCGTATCAAATCCTTCTTAAAGCGCTTCCTGCAGACTGTCATTGGCTCTGACAGCCCCAGTAAAGTGGGCCTGGCTGTGTTCGGCGGGGAGACCAGAGTTGAAGCTCAGGTTGGGAAATTTAAAGGAAACACCAGGAGTCTCCTCGAGGCTCTGGATTCACTGCAACCGCCCGGAGGCTTGGCCTTGACTGGCCAGGCGCTGCGGCATGTGACCCGGCATGGCTTTGTGAGCGAGCCTGTCTTTGCAGATGTCTCAGATGACCTCCCGCATGTTGTGGTGCTGCTCGCCGCCACTCCTGCTGCCGACGAGGTGGTCGAGGCCGCAAAATATGCACGAGATAGAGAGATCTTCCTGATTGGGGTGGGACCGCACAGACTGAGGGGAGAGCTGAATAATATCACAGGAAATCCTCAGAGGACTCTAACATATCAATCACCTGACAGGCTCATCGGAAAGATACCTGAGCTGAAGGCCAAGATCTGCAGCGTGGATACACAAGGTACCTACTGTCCAAAAGGAAGATTTCTAATTCAATTCAATTTAAAAATGCTTTATTAATCCCAAAGGGAAATTAAATGTTGCAGTAACTCATAAGTTGGGTGTTAATAGCTTTTGGCTGGAAGGATCTTCTGCACTGGTCTGTCTTGCACCAAATCTGGAGAAGCCACTGATTGAAGACACTCTGTGTGTCAGGATTTGGTGTTGGTTTGAGGACCCAAATGCAGAGGCAAGTTGGCAGAGGTCAATTTAGGTGGGTTTAATAAGGTTCACAGGAGCTGAGGCAGGAATCAAAAATCCAACAGAAATTACAAACGAACTAGAACCAGGGAGACATCAGGGGAAAACCAAACTCTAGGAGCCAGGGAGAGACGAGGAAAGCAGACAGACGTTTGACGAGGATCCAGCAAGCAGGAACTGAAGAGGGAGGCTTTTAAAGGGGACAGAGACAAAGAGAGGGCTAACGAGGGGATTGAAAACAGGTGAGGGCAGAGCAGAAAACAGAGCTAGGGAAAGAGGACACAAGAGGGCAGCAGAGGACAACAAATGGAAAACCAAGTCTGTGACACTGTGGTTTAAAAATCTTCTAGAATATTTTTAAACAACTACTGTCTATATAAAAATTTGGTTTTAAAAAACTGAATGTATTTAACAAAAGCTATTGGCACCCTGTGTGCCAAAGCTAAAAAGTGTTAAATACCAATAAAACTAGCAAAATACAGCCTTTAAAGGAGTCATAGAATGATTCTATAGGGTATTTGGTGCTGGTCCTTAAGGTCTCTGAATAGGGTGTATAACATTGGTTGGGCTGAAAATGGCATATTTGCTGTTCTATGAGCCTTAATGCAAGCCTGGTTAAAAGCCCCAGAATGAGACGACAGGTTGTCTTCCTTTTATGCTATGCTCATGATTATTTAGATGAGCTGTGCGCTGATTGGTTGGTTTAAAATGAGCGAACGAGCAAAGACACATCATAGCAACAAGCACTCACTCACTGAAACATTGAAATTGTTGATATCGTAGGGTGACAAGACGTCCTCCTTTTCCCGGACATGTCCTACTTTTTATACCTTAAAAAATTGTCCGAGGGGAATTTCAAAATCGTCAGGGATTTTGGTCGACTGCAGTGCAGCACGTAGTCGAAACACACAGGGCATTCAAACCATCCCTGAATTTATGTCAACTCAGGGCTTAATTTGGATTCCGCAGTTTTATTGTGGAAGTTTAGAATTGTGAGATTTGCAGAAAAAGGAGGTGTCGATGGGGTTTGAACTTCTCTGTACGCATTTCACCCACTGAATTATCGTTATTCATCTATGACAATGTAAACTTGGTTTTGCATTCTATGACCCCTTTAAATATTGACGCATTTGTTCTGGAAAAAAAAAAAAAAAAAAGAATCGTGCCCACTGCATGGCATCTTTTTTGCACCTTTAAATAGAAAAACATGTTCAGAGCACTTGATCAGACAATTAAACAATGTACCGTTCAACCTTCAGACATATGTGGTAGTTAAACTACCATATACACTGGAAAAAAATCTAAATTAGTAATTTTTTCTTAAAGCTACAGTGTGTAATAATTAGAGGGATATACAGTCAGAAATGTAATATATTATACATAACTATGTTATTT